GCCCCAGCGCAGCAGGAGGTCCTGAGTAAGACTCAAGCTCTGTTTCAAGACTTCATTCTCCAGCGTGAGATGTTGAACTCTTTTCTCTGAATCTGTCACCCCCTGGCAGAGAGGGGTGCCATCAGGACTCCCCTGAAGTCCCCTTGGCTTTCCAGTCTGTTCCCCGTGCTCACCCCATAGCCTCACCACTCCCAGGCGCAGTCTACTGAGCTCTTCTTCCTGCTGCTCCAACTGCTGCCTCAGCTCTTCCAGCTGTGGAGAAATCAGGGACAGGATGGCACTGCTGTTTGGGTCCCGTGCCAGCCCTGTCCCTGCCGCTCCTGATTCGCTTACCTGTCCAAGAATGAGCTGTTCCAGCCGCTGCCAAGCTCCCTGTTCCTCCTCCAACTGGGGAGGCCGATGTTCCTGGGCCTCATCCCCGGGTACCTCATCCAGGATAGGGGTGGGTTGAGGGGAGCTTTCTTCTTGTGACAGAGACCCTAAAGAGCGGTGAGTCAGTCACAAGTAAGGAAATGTCCAGCCTAGAGATAGCAGAGCCCATTCTGAGAGACCCTGCTCCCTCCACAAACAGCGGTACCCTTTACAAACCATCTAGATCGGAGGGCTGCACTGGGCAGGGTGGCTGTGTCCCCTGAAGCAGGACCTGCCTCCCCCTGGGGCTCCGTGTCCATGCCAGAAGGGCCAAGAGCTGACTTGTTACTGTCAACAGTGGGGGGACCTCACCAGGCTGGGATGAAAACAACCAGAGCGGAGGAGTTGGGGCTGTGTGGAACACAGAGGCTGCTGAAAGGAGCGGTTGCTAGAGATCACTGCGCTCACCTTGCCTGGGTCAGGAGTCGTCCCACGGCTCTCTTCTGCCCCCAACTGGAGGGAGAGGAACTCAGCAAGGCGCATGAGTGCCTCTTCCAGAGACACCTCAGGGGCTCCACCCTCGGCTCCTTTCGGACCATCCTCAGATTCTGAGCAGCCTTCGAGGCCAAGGAGTGGAAGGAAGAGGCTAGATGGAGGCTAGGCCTTTTCCCCTCCCAGTGAGGTCCCAGCACTCCAATCGCAGCGCTCCCTTCCCCAGCAGCTCCTCGGCATGAACCTACCGGCCAGGCTGTTCAACTCGGTCCACAGCTCTGATGTGATCTGATCCGGGCGGCGACGACCCCTAGGTTTGCCAGCGTTTCTCTGGGAAGAGAATATGGGACGCCTGTGAGGGTGCTGGCACATGTGGGTGAGCTTCCCTTCTGAAGGGGCCAAGCGGTTTGGGCTGAGGTCTATGACCCCAACACCTAGACAGCCCTATTTCCCAGCGCCTAAGGACGACATAAGCTGCACAGGTCGGCCACCACCAGCTCTCAGGGTGACGGTGGTAACCAACCGCGATGCAGGCCCACTCCGCTCACCTGGGTGGGGTCGCCGGGGTCCGCGGCCGCCGCAGCCCCGCCATCCCTGCGGAAAAGACTGTAGAAGATGTAAATGAGCAGAGAGTAAAAGGCGTACATGGGGGCGCGGGGCGGCAGAGAGCACCGCTTCGCGCCGCCCCGCGTCCCCGCACCAGGACTCGGCACGCGCCCGCCGCAATGCCCATGCGCATGCTCGCGGCGGCCGCCCCCACGGACGATCTTCCGCGGGCGGAGGGCGCACACTGAGGGGCGACCGCGGGGAGCCGCAAAACCTGTCCTTGAGGCCCTGCCAAGCGTTTTCCAGTACCTATTTCGCAAATAGTGGGCGCAAAGAGCTCCCGCGGCTGTCTAGCCTCTTTTGGAAATCCTGGCCCGCACAGCGCGGAGACGCCCCCCCCCGCCAAGGTACGCGCGCTCGCTCAGCAGCCGTCAGCGCACAGGTGCACAACCCCTGCTCCCGCGGTGGCCCCGCCCAGACCCCGCCCCTCCCCGGAGCCCGCCCCGCCCACACCTCCCTTCGGTCACCGCCTCGCCCCGCCCACAGCCGGGCAACACCCCTTCGAAGCCGCACCCCGCCTCCAGCCCCGCCTACATCCCCGCCTCGGATCCCGGACCCTTCACCATCCCCGTGCGCGAGCCGAGTTGTACGGACGCGGCGCGCGCGCCTTTCATCCCAGCACTCGAGAGGCAGAGGCAGGAGGATCTCCGTGAGTTTAAGGCCAGCCTGGTCTACAGAGCGAGTTCCAGGACGGCTAGGGCTACACGGAGAATCCCTGTCTAAAACACAAACCTGTACTGCACACCCTCTGGTCGGGACCGCCACCCTCCCAGCCCCACCCCTCCAGAGCGGGCCTCGGCCTTCCGCAGGCCCCGCCCGCCGCTCTAGCCTGAGCTCCTCTCGTTGGTGGAGGTAAGCCGGTTGCTCCGGGCAGCGCCACGGGAGGGCGGGCTAAGAGGCGGGGCTGACTGTTGTGGGCGTCGCCAGGTGCTGCCTGGCTCAGGCTGGTTTGTGCGGCTGCTTGTTCCCTACCGGGGCGTGGGAAACCGTTTCTCTCCAAGTGCTAGGGACTCGGCCCAGGTCATACAGCAAGGGGCCGTGCACATTGCCGTTCCGAGTACCCGCTTGAGCGCCAAAACAACAATCCCATTCCCCTTCCGCAGTAAATTAGTCTTTCTTCCCTGTAGGTGAGTCCAGTGACCGCAGAGCTCCAAAAAGTTTGGGACTGGAACCTATTCTAATGTCTACTCAGAGGTCTCTGGGACTTGAGATACCCGGGGAACTGCGCTAAAGGTTCCAAGTCGCCATCCTCTGTTGTACTTTCTTCTCTCCAAAACTGACGGTCCCTTTCCTGTCTCCTCAAACTCACTACTGTTCAGGGTGCCATGGTCTCCAAATCCAGGAGTGAATGGAGTACTGTCCTGTCCCACCTGGTGCTGGCTGCCGTGTCTCTGCACGCAGCGGTGAGCTCTGTACAGGTAGGTGGATATTCTTACTTTCACAGACTATGTAGACCCCTGAACTAGAAAGAGGGTGGCGGGAGGAGTGTGTAAGGCTGGATCTCCTTGATAATCTCAGACTCTGCTTTTTTTTTTAATCTTACTTGCATTGTTATAGAAGGTGTCAGATCCCCTGAAACCAGAGTTACAGACAGTTGTGAACTGCCATATGGATGCTGGGAATTGAACCCAGGTCCTCTGGAAGAGCAGACCAGTGCTCTTAACCTCTGAGCCATCTCTCCAGCCCCGACTCTTTGCTTTTTAAAAGGGCGACTCCTGGCTCCTTAACGTGTCTGTCTTCCCTGTGTCAACAGTCCAGCCGAGGAGCCGCTGCTGGCTTCCTTCTCCAGACGTTCGCTGCCGTCGCTATGCTGGCCCCGGGGCTGAACACGCGTGAAGACTGCCTTGCGGGAGCTTGGGTTGCCACAGTCATCGGTCTGCCTCTTCTGGCCTTCGATTTTCACTGGGTGAATGGAGACCGCTCTTCTGCCAACCTGCTTCTGGGAGGAGGCATGGTGTTGGCGGTGGCTGGGAACCATCTCGGCCCTGAAGGGTGCTCTGTGGCTGGGCAGGCAGTGCTGCTGGTGGTGGCAGTGACCATCCTTATTGTAGCTGTTTTCACAGCCAACACTTACGGGATGTGGGGGGGTGCCATGCTGGCCGTGGCAGGTCTCCTGAGCCGTCTAGAAGAGGACAGGCTGCTGTTGCTGCCAAGGGAGGATGTCTGTCGTTGGGCCCTGGCTGCGGGCAGTTGGGCTTATTGCCGGGCCCTGCGCACGCAGCGCCTGCAGTGGGAGTGACACTGGAAGGCCCGGCTTCTGTTCCAGGCACTGCTCCCCTGCCCATGGCCTGCATCCGAGCCTCTCTCTGAGGGACAGGCTTCCTCTTGAAACGAGCCTGCTGTAGATTCACTAATTGGGGGCAGAGCTTGGGTGCTGTCCCTTCCCTGGTCATGCATGTGTGGAAGGTTGCCCAAAGCAGAATGCAACAGGTCCTCAGCACACTTGGGGCCTGATTCTGGGAGGAACATGGTTGTGAGTCAGAGGCCAGATTTCCAATAAACCTTAGGAATATACAGGAGTTTGGAATCTGCTTATTCTTGAGCTGGCTTCCTTAGGCCTCCAGGGTATGTATCAGCTGACTTCCCTCAGCAATGAAGGGGTGATGTGCTTTAACTAGGAGAAGGCATTATTCCTCTTGGAATTCTGGCAAATTTGCCAAGAGGACGCCAGTGTGCTGGGCATGGTGGTGCAGACCTTTAATCCCAGTTGGGAGGCAGAAACAAATCCATCTGTGTTTTGGGCTAGGCCGGACTACACAAGTTGAATTCCAGAATGGTCAGTGCTGCATATAGTAAGACCTTATATCAGAAAGAGAGAGAGACAGAGAGAGAGAGAGAGACTCCGTGCTGAAAAGACATAGTTTTGGGTCTTGGTTTTGGGACTTAGTAGATTTGCATAGATCCCTGGTGGACCTGGCAGGTGGCCCCCGGGGCAGTGACCTTCACAAGCTGGGTTAGTAAAAGGCCGAAGAGGGCTGTACCTTAGCGATTCCCAGGAACTGCACATCTGATTTGCTTACTACCCGTTTGACCTCCTCTAAGGACCCTTTTTGAGTCTCCCACCCTGGGGCTGGGCCGAGGGCTGGGTTGTAGTGTACCCAAGCCTTCGCTCTTCCGGTACTTGACATCTTGTCGACGTTTATCACGTCGCTCCAGAGTAGTGGTCTGGGCTTTTTAAGTTCGTGCCCTTCCACTCCAGTCAGCTAGGCCGGAGCCTGACGCACGCACGCAAGCCCGGACTTCTGTGGACAATGGCCCAGGCACACCCCGACATGGGAGTCTAGGGGCGCCGTGCACTCTGGAGGAGCCCGAGCCTGGGTGTTTTCCCAGACCCGAGGACGCACCCTCCGCCGCCCTCTTCTCCCCTCCAGCCCCCTGGGCCCCACCCCCTTCTGTTCACCTTCTAAGGTGGGTGGGCCCTCCCTCCCGCATTCTCGCTCGCCCATTGGCGGGGGCCACCGCATCGTCTAGACCCTCGCGGTGCTACCATTGGCTCGCGCGGGGCACACGTGACTAGGAGGACGAGGGGGCGGTGGCGTGGGGGGGTCCGCAGCGAAAACAAAGATGGCGGCCGCGCCGGGGTTGGTGGCCGGGGCCGCTGCGGGCCGACGCGCGGGCCGGGCCCACTGAGGCTGCGGCGCGGTGGGCAGGTTGCGGGGTCGCCGCGGCAGCGAGAAGCCGGCAGGGGCGCGCGGCGACCCTAACTTCCAGCCGGCGAACGCGCCGGCACCCGCCCGCCGGGCCGGCCGGCCGCGATGTCCGGCGCCGAGGAGGCCGGCGGGGGTGGCCCGGCTGCGGGGCCCGCGGGTGCCGTGCCGGCCGGGGTCGGGGTAGGGGCCGGGCCTGGGGCTGTCGCGGGGCCGGCTGCGGCGGCGCTGGGCGAGGCGGCGGGGCCCGGGCTCCCGGACGAGGCGGGCCTGGCCGGCGCTCGGCAGCTGCAAGAGGCGGCCGGCGACCCTGACGCGCCGCCCAAGAAGCGGCTGCGGGCGGCCGAGGCGGCCGAGGCGGCGGCGGCGGCGGTGGCAGCGGGCAGCGGGAAGCTGGAGGAGCGGCTGTACTCGGTGCTGTGCTGCACCGTGTGCCTGGACCTGCCCAAGGCCTCCGTGTACCAGGTAGGGCCGCCGGCCCGGCGCCGCGTCGCTGGAGGCCGGGGGCCGGTGGCCGGGAACCCTTTCCTATCCAAACATCCTTCCAGGCCGGCGAGGCTCCTTGTCTTTTTCTTGCTCAGAATCCCATTTTCCGTGTTCCACGGTACCCTTCGCTCCCCCGTCTGAATTTCCTTTCCCCTCCTTAGATCTCTTGTCTGCGCCTTCTGGTTCCTCCGGGGTGCCCTCCTTGACATGTTCCAGATCCTTTTCAGCTGACCTCACAGAGATCTGTGAACAGGTGCCCGCCTACCTTGCCTACTGCTCAGCACTGCCCCTCACTTCTAGACCTCCTGGAGGAGGAAGACGCTTCTTAACTGAAGATAGGGCCCCAATTCTGGCAGCCACACCCCCCCAAGAGTGTCCTTCCATGCCTGAACAATTAAGTATACCTCTTTCTCTGCCCTGTGAAGCCCTGTTTTCTTCTGAACTGGAAGAAGGAAGGGCCTCTCATCCTTTCCCAGTTCTAATCTGGGTGAAGCCACCTGCTTTTTGGGTTCTTCCTCCTGCCCCAGCCTGGCCAGTTTCCTACTACGGGCTCATCTCACCCATGCCAAGCTGGCTTCCAAGGTTATCAGTGCATAGGAACTTCGTCCTAACCCTTCCCATCTGAAGACCCAGTGTGCCAGTAGGACCCAGGGTACTTGTCTGTGTGGGCCTAGCAACCTTCTCCTAGGTAGAAGAGAGCAGACCTCTGGTTCGGTGGGGATCTCTGTCTGCCTTCCCCTGGTCTCAGTTCCCGGTCCCTATCAGCTCCCTTTGTATTTACTGTAGCTGAAAGTGGCTGGTGAGGCCTGTTTCCCTGCTTCTCTTCAGACTGAGGAACCTGGCTGAGGGCCAGTATAGGTCTCGTCTGTAAAGCTGTTTTCCCACCCTTTGGATCTCTCTGTTCTTGCCTTGGCCTGAGGTGTGTGTTGTGTGTGGGAGGGTTCCAGTGACTGGGATGGGACACTCACCCTCTTAGGTGTTATCTTGGGGCCAGCTGGGGGGTACATTTCCTGCAGCTACTGGCTCTAACACCAGTGTTTACCTCTCTTTTTAGGGGCCATTGGTATCTGCTCACAGCCTTTTTTCTTGTCTTGGCTTCTTGGTCCTTCTTAGTGGGAGAGCTCTTCCTTTCCTAGGATTGAGTGGGAGTCTGGCAAGACAGGCCAATGGAAGGGGGTCCCAAAGAATTCAGGGGTTTCTTGGTTGTCCCTGGCATGGTGGCAGGCCACATGAGACTAGCTGGTTCATAGCAGTCTACACTGTGTTAGGAATTGCTCTGACTTGGGCAGCTGGAGTCAGGCAGCCAAGGAGGTGCGGTAAGTGTGATGTGAGTGAGGGGCTGCCTTCTCAGGCAGCCAGGGAGTTCCTGGGGCACACTTGGTGACTCAGAGGAGCTATGGGCATTGACAGTGATCTCTAGGCACTGCCACGAGCCCCCTTCCTATCTTTCTGCATAGGTAAATACCCAGAGCAAAGATGTTTCCCTGTTACCTGCAAAGACTGGGAGAATTTTCTAGAATATGTGGTTTTGAAAGTGCCCTTGGGCAAATGTTGGAACTTTGCCTATGCACAGATAATCTATAAAATGGGAGTGCAGCATGGGGAAGGATGAAGTTTCCTAGTATCTTAGAATGCTTCCAGAAGTGCAGTGCAGCTCCTGGGGGTCCTGTTGTCCCTGCCAAGGTGCCAGACAGGCCTCTTCACGCTTCTTCTCAGGATCTGGGCACAGACATCAGTGCCCTGGCCAGGATCCACTGCTGGCCACCTCTGCCTGAGCTCGTCTCGTCTCTTCTGTTAGCCTTCTTGTCTAACGCGTGCTCTCTTTAGACAGCCTTCGCCGGCAGCATTTGCCTGACCTCAGCAGAACACAGGGCTCCAGGTGGCCCCAGGCATGCTGTGCATTCTGGGAGCTTACTCAGATGCTCTGCTGGGGAAAAGAAGTGGGAAACCGTGCTGTGCCTGGCATTGAGTGTGGGGAAAACTTCATGGACTGCTGGAGTTGGCTGGCTGGGGGTGTGGTAACTTGAGAGTGTATTATCCATATGTCACCTGTGCTGCCAGGGAAGCCCGGGGAGGCAGACGAGAACAGACTCGGCTGTAATGTGGGCTCATCCACCTGCTCCTGAGATAGCCTTTGGACCTGCAGGGCCAATTCCCACGGCCCCATCATACACTGACCTATCACAGATGAGGAGATTTGCTCAGGTTGTCTGACCAAAGCTGTCAGCCAAGTAGCTCTTACCCCTGGAGCCCGTGTCAAGTGCCGCAGCAGGTGCAACAGGTGCTTTGATGCTTTCTGTGCGGGCGTTAGGTACATCCTGGGCAACTGGCCTGGCCAGGTGTGTAGCCTCCTTCCTGAGTCTGGGGTGGGCCCTTCCATAGTCAGGCAAGCACTATGGCAGGTGCCTCGTAGGTGGCATGAAGGCCGGAGGGAACCCGCACAAGAACTTCTAGCTCGTCCAGACTGGGCAGATGAGCAGACAGTTTGTGCTGGCTCCCTGTGCTGGCTGTGTTCATGAGGCCAGAGGGCAGTGGGGTCAGTCAGTAACTACCCGTGGAAGCGCCTTGTCATGGGGAGTCCTAGCCTGAGCCCTGACCTGCTTCCCCTAGCTTTCCTGCTACAGTTCTTCACATACTGCCCAGTATGGATGTTTGTAAGATAGACCCAGCCTTGACCTGATTCTTTGGGTGTCAGCCAGGGTCAGCCTCTTAGCACTGCATCTGACAAGATACTCCTCCTTCTTCCACCCTTCACAAGCTTTTGAGTTCAGGATCAGTTAAGTGAGCTTTGTCGTAGAACACAGTGAATCCGGCTGTATCTGATGTGGGCCCAGACACTTTCTGTGAGCACAGCCCTGGGTCACTGTCCTCCTACAGGGTTTCCACTTGAGCTGCCCTTTCCACAGCCCTCCCCGCCTCTTTGCTTCCTCTTGGGCCTGGCTAACAAACCCATCTTGGGGCTCCTTTTCTCCCTTTGACAAGGGTTCTTGTCCTTTCCTACTCGGCCCCAGAAGATGGTTGTTGATACGTTATGCTTTTGCCTTGCCTCTGGACATGGGAGACCAGATATCTGACTGAGAAAGGGGCTAGAAAACATTGGTCGTCTCTACTCAAGACCCCCTTCTGAGATCGTTCGGTGTCCAGGGGCTGCCTCGCACATGGCCTGGGGTCCCCTGGCACTGACAGCGATGGTGCTTCTTTCTTCTCCCTCCTCCCACTTGTCCTTACTTATTTTATGGGCGTGAGTGTTGGGCCCACGAGTGTATGTGCACCATGTAAGTGCCTGGCACTGCGGAGGTCAGAGCAAGGCTTCAAACCCTCTGAACCAGGAGATGTGCATGGTTGTGAGCCACAGCAGATGCTGTTAGCTGCTGAGCCAGCTCTCCAGCCCTGATTGGTTCTTTGAGGCAGAAAAGAGTCTTGGGAAAGGTTCTGCTTAGGTATCCAAGGAAGGGGTGTGTGTGTGTGTGTGTGTGTGTGTGTGTGTGTGTGTGTGTGTGTGTATTACTTTTTAAATCTAAGCAGTGTTCATTTCTGAGTAAAAGCCACATTCTGAGAGATTGCTGGGTCCCACCTGAGTCCTGAGTCCTGGATGTGGCTAGTCTAGAATTTCAACTCCACCTGAGCAGAAGGTTCTTGTTCTTGCCTCCAGCATACTGGTTGTATACCCATGGACGAGGAGCCAGTTCTGGCGCAGGCCCATGCTTGCCTGTGTAAGTTCAAGAAGCTGGGTCAAGCCCCAAGGTGCCCCTAGGTCTGATGGAGCCTTACCTGCATCTAAGACACCATGGAAGACTCTAGAGAAGAAGAGTCTCCAGGTGGCTGAATGGCACTTTGGTATTAGTGCATTTGGGTACCAGTGATTTCTGTCAAGAGTCTGTGATCCACTGTGCCCTGAGCAGGAGGCTAGTCCGTTCATGTGGGTCTGGGGACCATCCATAATATTTTGGGCACCCTATGTTTGCGAGGACTGTGATCTGGGCTTGAAAGAGCCTGGCTGACCACAGGGAACTTGTCACCAACTATAAGTTGTGCAGGACCCATTTCTAAGACCTGCTTACGACTCAGGCAGGGCTTCTCCATCAGCATAACTGTTCCATCTAGCTCCTTTCACCCCAAGGAGAGCCCAGTCCAAAAAGAGCACTCCTGCCTAGGTATGTAGCCCAGTCTGAACACATATGAGCTGCCTGCAGGTCAGTAGATGAAAGGGCTAGGTGCTGACCTGGAAATGTAGGAGCAAATAACTATGTCTGGACCATTAGAGGAGCCTAGGGCCTCAGCCCCATAGGGGATAGAGCTTTACCAGCTTTAACATGGATAACTGCAGGGGTGGCATTTGTTCTAGGGGTTCTATAATCTGAGTGTCAAGCTTTGCCTCTATTACCTCGTCCTGTGCTTGAAAAGAAACTGGGACCAACAGAGAGAAGATGATGAGTCCAAGGTCATGCATGCTATTGGTGACTTATAGGCTGAGAGCAGAGCTCAACCTTGTCAGCTCCAAGTCAGTGTGTGTCACAAGAGGGCCTGGAAAAACCCACAGTGTTATCTTGGATATAAGTCCAGAGTTTAGCTGGTTGATGGTGGGATGGCAGCCTGGCCTGGCCATTGCAGAAGCAGTTTCTGGAGGTGCCTAGGAACTGGAACTGGCACTATGGAGTCATCTGTGGTCAAGCTCTTGGCTGGGCCAGTATGCCACAGAACATCCTGGGACTTGTTCTGCCACTCAGCTTAACTGCCAGGGCTCTAACACCTCACTTTCCCCAGACCTTGCAGACTTTCCCAGAGTGGCCCAGAGGAAAGCAGGGTAGGCACCGCTTCCCTGTGTTGTGAAGTTGGAGTTGATCTGAGTCTGGAATTCCCAAGAGAATAGGCCCTGTGGCCAAACCTAGCCCAGGCTTAGGTGGCTTCCACGGTTGGGAGCAGGAGTGATATTGAGAAGTAGTGATAGGATTGGCAGCCTCAGCTTCCCATCAGGAGGGCCCAGGACTCCTTTCCAAGTCTGCCTTGGCTGAGATTAGGACCATGTATCCACAGCCTGGTGTAGAAACCTTGTGGGGATCCGGCTGCAGCCAGGAAAACTACTGTTCCCCTCTACTCAGACTGGTAAACCCTAAAAGTGACTGCAGACCTGGGCCAGAGCTTCATCTAAGTGTCGGGCAGCTTCTTACCAGAAAGTGACTCAAGCTATGCCTTGTGTGGAGTGCTGGGGTTGGGTGTTTCAGTGCCGGTGTCTTGCTGGGTGAACTTTGATTTTTCTTTAAGATGGGGTCTTATGTAGCCCAGACTGGCCCAGAAATCACTTTGTATTCTAGTCTTGGCCTCAGACAGTCCTGCCTCTGCCTGCTGAGTTCTGCACTTACACCACTCCAGTCTAGGTAGAGTTCTTGGAGGATGCAATGTGGTCACGCCCTGCTTCTCTGGGGCATCCTGAGATCGCCTCTCTGAAACACTTGAACATTCAATTTTGTGTTGTATTTCCTCCTGCCTTCCAGAAGGAACATTAGTCATTGTCCCAGAAGTCCCTAGGCAGATGGAGTATAAAAGGACCATGACTTGGTCAGCACCTGCCCCATCTATACCCAGGTGTAGTCCTGAGCCCATTCCCATTGACTTCTAGGATGGACACAGCAGAACGGTTGTTCATCTCCACTTCAGGCAGGCTGGCCCCTGCTCTGTCTCTTCATCCAGGTCATAGTTGGGCCACTCTCCTTGTAGTGCATGCTTTAGTCATGTGGTTTCCCTGTGGGCGTGGGCTCTTCATCAGGCTTCTGCCACCATCAGGCCTCAGCATGTAAATCCCATCATTCACTGAGAGTGCAGAGAGCCTGCTAAAGCAATATGATGGCAGCTAAAATTTATTAACCATGGCAGCTATGCAGAAGTAGCCCCTGGCATGGCCAGGCAGTGGCTACATATGTCTCATTCCCTAATGCACACTTCAGTGTACAGAGCAGTCTCAGCATGGCAGGCCTGATGTATTGTACACACACATTCTGTCTCTCTGTCTGTCTCTCTGTCTCTCTGTCTCTCTGTCTCTCTCTCTCTCTCTCTCTCTCTCTCTCTCTTTCTTTCTCTTCCTCTCCCTCTCCTCTCTGCTCTCTCCTCTCTTTATTTTTTTTTTTTGTTTTGTTTTCCAAAACAGGGTTTCTCTGTGTAGACCTGGCTGTTCTGGAACTCTCTCTGTAGACCACAGAGATCTGCCTACCTCTGCCTCTCCAGTGCTAAGATTAAAGGTGTTCACTACCACGCCTGGATATTGGTCTCGCCTTTAACACTGAGTCCCTCTCATATGAGAAGGCTCTCTCGTAGTGGAAGCCCACCCCAGTACAGGGTTCTCTGGTCATCTAGCATTTTTTGTGGCACCAAATGGTTCTCAGTGTATATTGACTCAGTAAGAGACCCAGGTTCTGATAGTCTTTGTCTATGTAACCAAGGACCTCCAGCTAGTAGGTCTGCTCCCACTGATCCCATTTATATCAGCCCAACTCAGTACCAAGACCCACCTACCTTCAACTTGAGCCAGGTTAGCCTCCTGCCTGCTCTAGGCTTTGTGCCATTGGCTCTGGAGCAACCCCAGTAGGTAGTCGCCCTCCCTGGGTGCTAGCAACTGCTGGTTCTCACCTGTGTTATCAGCAAGGGCTAGTATGAAGGGGCCAGGGTTGACCTCAGCCTGAGCCACTTCCAGTCCCTACATGAACAGCCTCTCGAAAGCTAAGGGGTAAATGCCTGCCTCAGCAGCAACTATAACCCCATGAGCAGCTTGCTGGGTACCCTGACAAGCCAAACAAAAAAAACAGGTTCTGTGATGGGACAAATGGGAAAGCCAGGTTCCAAGCCCAGATGTGGTCATGTCAGCTGCCGTCCAGGCTTTCTTTAAATGTAGCCAGGACCTCAAGGCCCTGCTCTTCACAAAATCCAAGCTAGTTCTGTCCTGGAATGACACCCACTGTCAAGCAGCTCTCAGTATTTCCTAGGTACCAGCAAGACTTGGGAACTAGTGGGTACTCCTCTACTCCCTCACCCAAACCCCCAGGACAAGTGGTCTGGCTGGAGCCAGCAGGTGTGGGTGGGCAGGTGTGCGTGCAAGCATCCACAGGTCTGTGAGCTTCACCTCCCTTTCCTTCTCCGCAGTGCACTAACGGTCACTTGATGTGCGCTGGCTGTTTTATCCACCTACTAGCAGATGCCCGGCTGAAGGAGGAGCAGGCCACATGTCCCAACTGTCGTTGTGAGATCAGTAAGAGCCTCTGCTGCCGGAACCTGGCCGTGGAGAAAGCTGTGAGCGAGCTGCCTTCAGAGTGTGGCTTCTGTCTTCGTCAGTTCCCTCGCTCCCTCCTAGAGAGGCACCAGAAAGAGGAGTGCCAGGACAGGTAACCATGGTGAAAGCGTGGCCTTGTGATCTGATCAGACCTTATTGGCTGGGCCCTGGGGACCACATATACAGTCCATTGGTAACCCTGTAGACCCAGGTGGTAAGAGCATGCCTTTCCACAGAAAATAGTTAGGGTCAACACCGCAGAGTGCTCTATGGATGTGATGGTCACCCTCTAGGATTCTCTGTGGCTACTAGACAGGTCCTTACAAAGTTTAGTACAGCAGGATCAGTTTGAAAGTTCTGGAAAGTTTGAGTGAGACTCTTTTGTTTGACAGCCCAGTCCCAGCAGATAGAAACAGCCGCTTGCCTGGCAAGGCCCTGACACCAAGAGCTTTCCTACAATGAGGCCACGTGGGGTCTAGTGTCATGGTCAGCGGCCACTTGCCTCTGGGCGGAGACGTCAGCACTGGGCACAGGAGGCTGTGGTCTAACCTGCAGTGCTTCTCTCCTTCCGTCTCCGTGCCTTTCACATGCATGCCTCCAAGGGCTCTAAGTGGCTGCGCTCACAGCTCATTGTGTCCTACAGGAAAGCGTTTGTGGTTGGGCAGAAGCAGCCTCTGGAAGACTGCTGGGCGTGGCCGCTTGCCCGGCCACAGGGTTGACCACTCCTCTCCACTCCTCCCAGGGTGACACAGTGCAAGTACAAGCGCATTGGCTGCCCGTGGCATGGCCCTTTCCACGAGCTGACAGTGCATGAGGCTGCGTGCGCTCACCCAACCAAGACAGGCAATGAGCTGATGGAGATCCTGGACGAGATGGACCAGAGCCACCGCAAGGAGATGCAGCTCTACAATAGCATCTTCAGCCTGCTCAGCTTTGAGAAGATCGGCTACACAGGTGAGACACCCCACATTCCCCTGCATGCCACACAGGCGCTGTCTGGGTCTAGAGGGCTGGCAGCCAAGAGCCGGGAAGGCAGTAGGCTCTGGGTAGTGGGCACAGGCTGCGCCGATGGCCAGGCTCTGGAACACTCCAGGTGGACAGGAGGATGGCTTGGGGAAGAAGATAGGTTGGAGACTGAGCAGGAGGGATGCACCTGCATGGCTCTTACAGAGGTCCTTCCCACCTGTCCTCCCTGTCTCTGCCTACCACCCCAGCAAGACGACCCCCTTACTGTATGGGGCTCCCCAGATTGGGGGTGTTGGGTCTAACTAGAAAACTGGATATGTTTTGGGCAGTCTGGGAGCTTGGGGCCTTACCTTTGGAGCACAGAGCAAGAAGAACATTCCATCAAGTCAGGTCCTGTCTGCAGATGTTTACTGAAGGCCACAAGGCCTCCTGAGGCTGGCAAGAAGCTTGAGCAGGGCTCCAGAACAAGCTGAGGGTCTCAGCTCAGACTGTAGAACTGGATGCCCACAAATGAGTAGGCTGGACCGGGCCTATGCTCGCTGGATCTCATGGCTCCCAGGCATCTGCCACCAGCTTTGAACATGTCGGGGAGCAGGAGCCAGGCCAGAGAACAAGAAGCACCTGCTGATACTGGGGCCACTCAGGGAAACTTCATTCCCTCCACTGCTCAGCCTACAGCAGGTGGCCAGCTCAGAGCACCCAGGGCAGTCTTGGACGTCATCATGCCATGCTGCCTAGACTAGCCCAAGCAGGCCTGAGATGCAAGGGCCAGGCCTGCGTCAGCAGGAAGCTCTGGGTCTTGCTTAGGAGTCGCCTTGGCTGATCTCATGACCTGTGGGGTCTGGGTGGGCCAGGCCATGTGGCTACAGCAGGGGCTGGGTGGGAAGCCCTGTCCACGAAAGAAGCACTGGCTGCCTAAGAGCCTACACGTCCACAGCAGGATGTGCCAGCCACAGGACTGCAGAGGCAGGTCTGCCTGCCGGGCAACAGCCCCACAGACAGCTGAACAGAGTCCACAGCGCAGCAGCAAGGACTTGGCACTCCCCTTGGGCAGGACCAGAGACCATATGCCCACCTGCTGGCTTTTCTGGCAGCTTTGTATCGGAACCAATAAAGTGCACTTGTTCTCAGAACTGTATCCTGTCTGTGTGTCTGCTTACCCCGCCCCTTCGGGGACAGGGGACTGAGGGTAAGGAGGGTGGCACTGTGGGTTGGCCACACCTGGGCCACGTGGCCCAATGTCCCACAGCCTCAGGACTCTCCAGCTAATTGGTGTTAATTCTGTTTGTAGTTATTTCCCCAAAGCTTGCGCACTTCCATTTGCCATAATTGCGTTTGACTTACCTTGTGACAAGTAGAACGCACTATCTGGGTAAGTTGCCTTCCTCCCTGGCTGAGCCTGTCCTTGGCCTGTTGGGGAAGGCTCCACCCCCTGGCCCTCCCCAGCACTAACAGTTGACTGTCTGGCCCTGTCTGTCTCCACAGAGGTTCAGTTCCGGCCTTATCGCACTGATGACTTCATCACACGCCTGTACTATGAAACACCACGGTTCACAGTACTGAACCAGACATGGGTCCTGAAGGCTCGTGTGAATGACTCGGAGCGCAACCCCAACCTGTCGTGCAAGCGCACACTTTCCTTCCAGCTTCTCCTCAAGAGCAAGGTCACGGCGCCCCTGGAGTGCTCTTTTCTTCTGCTCAAGGGCCCGTACGATGATGTGAGGATCAGTCCTGTCATTTACCACTTTGTCTTCACCAACGAGAGCAACGAGACAGACTATGTGCCGCTGCCCATCATCGACTCTGTGGAGTGCAACAAGCTGCTGGCTGCCAAGAACATTAACCTGCGGCTCTTCCTGTTCCAAATACAGAAGTAGGACAGGCCCAGGCTGCCTGAGGAGCAGAGGGCTGCAGTCCAGTAGTGCTGTCCCACCCCTTCCTAGCTTGGCAGCAGCTTCACACAACTATCTGATCATTTTAGCAAAGGAGGCGAACAAGCAAAATGAAACCCTGAGAAAGTCTGCATGCGTGTGCAGGGGTCTCTGCCTCTGGCCCACCTTCCTGCCCTGTGCCTCCCACCTCCTGCAGGCAGCCAGAGGCTGGGCTGACCACAGTGGAAACCGTACTCTGTGCTCCTCAGGTACAGGTGGTGAGGAGGGCGAGAAGCCAGCCACCCTCACCCCAGCTCCCATCCTCAATCGAGGTGGCACGGTGGTTCCCTGGCCAGGCTCAGGGGCCCTGGCTAACTTCAGACAGCATATTTGATTGCAATTAAAAAGGCAGCCTTGTTTCCTACTTTCTGTTTTGTTGGAGGGGAACGTGTGGCTGTGAATGGACTTGATGGGAGATTTGGTTTGGCCTGGTGGTCAGAACCTGTCCTGTCCTTGTTACCGCGCCTGTATGTGCCCCCCAGGAGAGACTTAAGAGAGACACTGCCTCCCCCACAGTCTCACCTGAGATTGGGACCAAAGCCTGGCCGGTGAGCCAGAGAGGGTCCCGTCTCCCCCTCCCCCACCCCCCAGCCGTTGACCACTCAGAAAAGCAGGACTTGGCTAGTAGGGCTCAGCAAATGTTTTCGGAATGCAGGGTGAAATTCTGTCTCTTCCAGAAAAAAATTAAACTCTACAGGCTCTTTAAGTGATGCGATTTTAGCTAGAAATAATCCATTCGCTTAACTCAACAGAGAGGGCCCGGTGTCCTCAGGGTGCCAAGGAGACAGTCACTAATGGTGGCGGGGACATCACAGGACCAAAGCAGAGCAGTGTGGTTTATTGCCTGAGCAGGGTGGGCCTTCCCCTTGCTGGGCCGTTGACAGATGCTGTGGGTGGTGTCTGGAAGCAGGACAAGTAGTAGGGACTCCCAGAATGTGAAGCAGCCATGCTTGATACGGCTAGGCCCGTCCTCTTCCCTCGGCTCCTCAGAGATACTGAGAAGGGGAAACTTGCCTCCTGCCATCTTTGCTTAGGAGATGAGGCTCTTTTATCATAGCTTTTCATTGCTTTAATACCAAAGAACCGGTGTCCTTGGCCCTGACCAGACCTTCACATGCCTCAGAGTTCGTACACCCCAAGCAAACTGCCTGGGCCTACACTGCCTTGTGCCTTCCAAGCTAAGGGACAGGGTAGTCCTGGCCATGTGGGTGTAGTTCCACCGACCCTGACCTTCCAGGGGGCAGGGGGCTGAGAGACGGAGAAAAGGAGCTGTGATACAGGGAGCAGGCCCTGTCTTTTCCTGAGCACAGCCAGGAACAGACCCGTGCGGCCCTCCTGCTTTCTCTTAAGCTGAAAGTTTTTCAACACCTTGTTGGCTTCCTACATGGGACTTCAGCAGATGTGACCTGGCTGGGGGGGGGGGCGGTGAGAAGGCCCATACTTGCCTTCTGCCTGCTACCAAGGACCCCATGCCAGATTCCAGCACAGCCATGGGAGCAGCGGCCTTTGACTCACACAGCTCCCCGATGTCTTCTGCCTTTAGGCGTGCTCACCTGGCAGGCACGGGAATTTTGGGAGTGGGGGGCTCCCTCTGGAAGTCCCTCTTGATTCCGAGGTGATGGTATGAAAAGGCGGGGCAGAGCCAGCTTGCCCTAATAACCTGTGTCTGGATGCGTGAGAGACTGACTTACCGAAGGAAGCCTAAAGGCTCCTGGGAAGAAACGGGGTAGGAGGCTTATTCCCCATGGGCACAAGCCAGCTGGGACACAGCGGGCGTGAGGAATGAGGCTGGGCTGGCAGGGTCTCAGAGGCAACAGAGCTTTAGGTATTTGTGTGGGGGGCCGAGAGGCATACCCCAGTGCCCATACAGGGTTGGGGCAGTGCCCAAGTGAGACCCGCCAAGGAGTGTGGTATGTACGGGTACCCAGGGGAACTGCTTAGGCCTCCACCAGTGACAGGTTCAGTGTCGCCCTACACTATGACTCAGCCCAGAGGAAGCAGACGTAAAGAAGACTACTATGTCTCTCGGCTATGCTAGGGACTGGCATACAAACTTTTCAGCATTGTCATTGTGGGTCCTTTATTGGGGGGGGGTACCACATCTCCTGGCTTGTGTCCAGAATCTTGTTATCTTGCTGTCCTAACCTGGCTCTTTATCTGTTGTCTCTGAGATTGGGAAGAGGGGTTCAGCCTCAGTAGGTGTTGCGGAGGCGGAGGGGGTAGCATAGGCCAAACTAGGCCCCACCCCTCTTCCACCTGTCTCATCCCCACTTCCTGTGAGCCCCCACATCCCTCAGTTTGCCTGAAGTGAGACATTTACAAAACAATAAAAGTAATTTTCTAAAGAGCAGAGCAAGAAGTGTTTTTATGGTTGTTAGAAATGACTTACATGTCAGTTTTGTGGTTTGCATTTTCTTTGAGTATCTTCTGTATGTACCTGTAGTTAAAAAACTATTCCAAACCATGGTTTGTCTGTGTTTCCTTACCAGAAGACAGGCTCAGGGTACGGTGCTCTGCTGGCCTCCCTTGCTGATCAGCCGTTACCCCAGCTCCAGGCCTAAAAGCCCTGTGAAACACTTGGACAGAGAAGTTGGATCACCCCTAACGGGAAACTGACTCCACACAGTTGTCTCTCTGACTTACATACCAGGGCATGTGTGCCCCCCCAATAATAATAGTAATAATAACTGAAAAAAAAAGGATGTAAAATAGTCTTCCAGGGCAAGGCACAGTCTGAGAAAAAGCTTTCACACATTACAGAGTGCAGTAGAACAGCCAGAACTCAGCAGAGCTAGAGGAAAAGCAACTCGTGGTGTTTCCAACAGCCTGGTTGGCCAGTGTCGTGTCGTAAGCCTGCTGATTCGATACCTTCTTCCCGTGCCACCCTTCCTCTCTCCCATCACCCCTCACACACCTCGCCAGCCTGCCTTCTCCATAGTGGACTTGGCTTCAGAGGCTTTGGATGGGAAGGACCGGCAGTGCAGGCCTCCATAGCTATCCGGACATCCGAGAACCAGCAAGACCCAGCCTAACAGCTGCCCTCATGGGAGGTCTGCTGTGTCCCATTTTCCCGTTCACCCTATGCAACTCCGGGAGAAAGATCTTACCACCCCCTTGCAGCCTTCAGGTAGCAAGACCCAAACCTGCCCAGTCCCAGCCTACAGCAGGGGGCTGATACGGTCAGCTGGATCACGTGGCCCTTCTTCAGCCTCCCATACCACTCTCTTCCCAGCAGGTGTTACCATCTGTCCTCTAGTGGGGTGTTCTACCCCTATTTTGGGGGTTTGGTCGATTGGTTGTTTTTTTCTTTGTTAGTTTTACAAGACACGTTTTCCCCGTGGCTTTTGGAGGCTGTCCTGGAACTCACTATGGAGACCAGGCTGGCCTGGAACTCTCGGAGATCGGCCTGCCTCTGCCTCCCTGGAGCTGGGATTAAAGGTGTGCGCCACCACCGCCTGGCTAGTTGTTTTTCTTGTTTTTGTTTTTTGTTTTTGAGACAGGGTCTCTCTTCATAGCCCTGGCTGTCTTGGAACTTACTATGTAGACCAAGAGGGCCATGAACTCACAGACGTCCACCTGACTCTGCCTTCCAAATGTGGGGATTAAAGTTGTGCTCCCATTATTTTAATTACAATAGAAAATAAATTTGTCTGCCTACAAGTGTGGTGGACACATGCCTGTAATCCCAGCACTCCGGAAGTGAGATCAAGAAGATCAGGACCAAGGTCATCCCCAGCCACATGTTAAGTGTGAGGACAGCCTGGGCTCCATAGGACCCTGACTCAAAGCCTAGTGGTGGCAGCCGTCCGTGGTGGTGGCACACACCTTTAATCCCAGCACTTGGGAGGCAGAGGCAGGCAGATCTCCAAGTTAAGGGCCAGCCTGGTCTACAAAGTAAATTTCAAGATGCCAGTGCTACTCACGGAAACTCTGTCTCCAACAGCCAAAAAGACCCTGACTCAAAGAGAAGAGACTCCTCCATGTCCCACTCCTATGACTTTGTGGGGTCCTGCACTGTTCTCACTGGGACCCTTAGTACACAGTCTGGTGGGTGCTGACTGTTGAGCTTGCCTCATTGCCAGGGGTGAGAGCTCCAAGGCATGGCAAGTGTTTGGTCTCCAAAACACAGAATGCAAGGACAGTTCCGGGCCCTTTGCAGGTGCGGAATCTGTATTGGGTTCAGTTCTCCAGTCTAGACTGTAACTCAACTGCCTTTCAGTGCAAAGCTTTGCAGTTTCCAGGTGTCTTCACTGCGTCTTCTGGGAACACTGATGCCCACATAAAAGAGTTTGTTCTGTGTAGTTCAGAAAGCCCATGCCTCCCCGCCTTCTTTTTTTTTTTAAATTATTTATTCATTATGCATAGGATTTTTTATCTGTGTACATGTATGTACCCCAGGAGAAGGCATCAGACCTCATTATAGATGGTTGTGAGCCACCATGTGGTTGCTGGGAATTGAACTCAGGACCTCTGGAAGAACATGCAGTGCTCTTAACCTCTGAGCCATCTCTCCAGCCCACCTCCCCGCCTTCTATCCAGAGACTTCCTGTGTCCTTTACATGTGGGCTGTTTCCCAGGATATATAACAGTTCCGTTAAGTCTCCATGCCCAACTATTTGTTTATGTGTATTGCATTGCTGGTTTTTGTTTTGATTTGTCTTTGGAACAGCCCTGGCTGTCCTGGAACTTTCTCTGTAGACCTGGCCTCAAACTTAGAGATCCACCTGCCTCTGCCTTCCAGGTGCTGGGATTAAAGGTTGTTTGCCACTACCAGCTGGATTTTTTTTTCTCAATGATTTATATTGTTTTTACTCAATGTGCATCAATGTTTTGCTTGCATGTATGTCTGTGTGAGGTGTTGGATTCTCTGAAACTGGAGTTTCAGATACAGAGAGCTATGAGCGGCCATATGGGTGCTGGGAATTGAAACAGGGTCCTTTGGGAGCAGCCAGTGCTCGTAACCAGTGAGCCGTCTCTCCAGCCTCCTGTACCACCAGTTCTAGGTGATGCCTTCTTTTGGCCTCCATGGGACTAAGCACATATATGGTGCACAGACACACATACAGGCAAAATATCCATCCACATAAAATAGTAATTTAAAAGCTTAAAGGTAAAATTTACAGGCTAGGTGTGGGGGCACAAGACTTTGACCCCAGCCTGCAGGAGGCAGAGGGGTAGGGGATCTCTGAGTCCAGTCAGGACTACATAGTAAGCACCTGTCCTTAAAAGATATTTTTTTAAGCTTAAAGTGATGTTTATTTGAATACTGAACAAAAAACAAATACAACAATTAATATTTTTTAAAAATCCACAAGACTGTTTTTCCTACAAATGCATGTACAAGCATGCCCACATGAACAATGCTGTGTTTCTGCCAGCTGCTCAGTATCTATGTATGAACGTACTTTTTTTTTTTTTTTTTTGCTTTTTCGAGACAGGATTTCTCTGTGGCTTTGGAGGCTGTCCTGGAACTAGCTCTTGTAGACCAGGCTGGCCTCGAACTCACAGAGATTCGCCTGCCTCTGCCTCCCAAGTGCTGGGATTAAAGGCGTGTGCCACCAACGCCCGGCATGAACATACTTTCTGACTTCTCAGAGGGTTCCTTTTGTGCAAACAGAGGTTTTGATGATATTCTTACCACAATATGAAGTAAATGTAGTGGTGAGACATGTTCATAGTCCAGAGGCTCACACAATGCTCACTAAGTGTCCTTCTGCTGAGAAACTGATGAACAAAGGAAGGGGAGGAACCAAGACCCCCAGAAGGTAGACAGGGAAGAAATGCATTTTTCTCTAGTCACTTTCCCAGATCATAATGTGTAAAAGATATTTTTTAAACAAATATAAATAGGTGATGTGTGCTTTAATTTTTAGAAGTGGGGGTAGTGTTAGAGAACATCTGTAATAAAAAAGGCAAGTTGAGGGGCTGGTAAGCTGGCTTTGTAGTTAAGAGCATGTATGTCTCTTGCAGAAGACCCAAGTTCAGTTACCAGCACCCACATGGTAACTTGCAACCCACTGTAACTCCTGTTCCAAGGGATCAGACGCCCTCTTCAGGCTTCTGCGGGCACCAGGCACACTTGGAAGTGCACATAAATACATGTACATGAAACACATACAGAAAATAGATCTTTTTATTTTTTAAAATAACTTGTTGTTTTATCTTATGTACATTGTTGTTTTGCCTCCAAGCATGTCTGTGTGCAGGAATCAGGTTCCCTGGAACAGGAGTTACAGATAGCTGTGAGCTGTCATGTGGGTGCTTGGAATTGAACGCTAGTCCTTGGAAGGGCAGCCAGTGTTCTTAACCACTAAGCTATTGCTCCAGTCCCATTTGTTGGGTTTTTTGAGACAAGGTTTTTCCGTGTAACCCTGTCCTGGCTGTCCTGGAACTTGCTCCATAGATCAGGCTGGCCTCAAACTCAGAAATCCACCTCTGCCTCTGCCTCCTGAATGCTGGGATTAAAGGTGTATGCCCCCACTGCTCTGCTCTGCTCAGGCTAATAAATCTTTAAAAAGAAAAAAGGCAGGTAGACTCCAGGATAGCAGGGTCAATGCCCCAGCCACGCACCACACTTTAGCTGAAGTCCAAGGAACCCCTTCGTAGGAGTCCTCTAAATAAGGACACAACCTGCCTGGGTGCCCGCACTGTTTGTCAGCCACCTCGAAGGCCTCGGAAAGGTCCTATACAAATTCCGCTCCCTGCTTGCACCTTGCTCGAGCTGGGACTACAGCTCCCAGGAGGCCTGAGGTCGAACTACCGGTCCCATCAAGCGCTACTGCATTTCTACCCCCGAGGGGGCGGAGTTAGACATGCGCTCAGAAGACTGGGTGGGACCTGCATTGGGGGTGGAGCGAGGCGAGTGGGCGTGGTTCCAGAGAAGCGCGGGAAGTCTAGATTTTCGCGGCCCTAGTGGCTGTGTAACTATGACCCTGGAGCAGGAGCTTCGCCGTGAGTACTTTGGGGCATGCTGGTCGGGAGCGCAGAGCGCGGATCCGTTCCCGGATTAGTCCTGATCCTCCCTTCTTCCTGGCAGAGCTGAGCAAGGCCAAGGCCAGGGCCCAGAGGAATGGGCAGCTGCGCGAAGAGGCAGACTACTGCCACCAGCTGGGGGAGCTGCTGGCTGGCCACGGTGAGCCGGAGCTGTGAGAGGGCAGGCTGGCGGCTGGGGACTGGCGGGTGATGTCACACCTTGAGCGCTCCATTCCCCTCTTCCGGCAGGTCGCTTCATGGAAGCCTTGGAGGAGCATCAGCAGGAGCTACGTTTGCTAGAGAGCGTTCAGGATACCCTAGGCTGCGCAGTGGCCCACCGCAAGATCGGAGAACGGCTGGCCGAGATGGAGGATTACTCTGCTGCTCTGAAGGTTCAGGGCCTGGACTTCTGGGGTCTTCTTGTTGTGAAGAGAGGGCCAGTATGCAAATAGTTATCCCCCAATAGCTGACATGACAGGCAGACACACCTTATGGCCTGCTCCTACTGCTGCCTGGCTCGCCTGGCTCTTGGTAGGGGACTGGGGGCGTGAATTGGGGCTTGTGACAACTGAAGCTAAGGAACTATGACTTTTGCTCTGTGGGGAGAGGAAGAATCAGGACCCACTGCTGTTGGGAGCAACACTCCAGGCAGTCCTTAGTGTCTGGCCGGACCACACTGGCTGGCCACAGGGCGGAGCAGTTGTCACCATAGACAGACAGTCCTCTGCACAGAAAAGATATGATGACGTGTGTAGCCAAGTGTGTTGACGTTTGGGCAACAGAAGGTTCTCTTGCACAAGGGTAGCTTCCCTGGGGTCAGACTTCTGGGTTTGTTTGAGGTGGGATCATTTCACAAGCTTCTCCTTCTCACACCAGCACCAGCATCTCTACCTGGATCTGGCTGGTGCCCTGTCCAACCACACTGAGCTGCAGAGAGCCTGGGCCACCATTGGCCGCACCTATCTGGACGTGTATGATCACGACCAGTCAAGAGACGCCTTGCTGCAGGCACAGGCTGCCTTTGAGAAGAGCTTGGCTATTGTGGATGAGAAACTAGAGGGTTGGTGCCCTTTCCCCGCATTCTCCCCACATCCTGCTGTCTGCCCCCCCCGCCCCTTTCCAAGGCCTGCATTGTAGCAGACTCCTAGTTTCCTCAATACAAGATGGGATGAGGGATGGGAGCACCTGAAAACCCCATATCCAGAGGAGACAACTGAGTTTCTAGAGCTACTACCTTCCAGGGACGCTGACCCAGCGAGAGCTGAGTGAGATGCGGACTCGACTCTATCTCAACCTGGGCCTGACCTTTGAGAGTCAGCAGCAGACAGCTCTGTGCAATGACTACTTCAAGAAGAGCATCTTTCTTGCTGAGTGAGGCACCATCCCTATCCCAAGAGGGAGCAGGTGGTCCCCTGGGATCCTTCACGTCTATGCTGCAAGCCGAGGGAAGCAGGTTTAGACCCAAAACCGCAGCATAGTAGGGCTGGGGCCTAGGTGGCATTGGCAGCCATCACTGGCGGAACGTCAGTAGCACCGTAGGTGTCTGAGTGTCCACCGTTCTCTCTGAGCTCCCCTCATCGCATCCTCCACAGGCAGAACCACCTCTATGAAGATCTGTTCCGGGCCCGATACAACCTGGGTGCCATCCACTGGCGTGGAGGGCAGCACTCTCAGGCCATACGCTGCCTGGAGGGGGCCCGGGAGTGTGCACGCGCTATGAAGATGAGATTCATGGAGAGTGAATGCTGCATGGTGGTGTCCCAGGTGCCTGTCCTGCTTTCACCTGCGTGGGCTTGGCCCTTGGGGAGCTATGAGCCTCACGTTTTCTCTCTCCCCAGGTGCTCCAAGATCTGGGGGACTTTCTGGCTGCCAAACGAGCCCTGAAGAAGGCCTATAGGTTGGGCTCCCAGAAGCCTGCCCAGAGAGTGGCTGTCTGTCAGAGTCTCAAGTATGGTGAGACTGAGTGGGGACCCGGAGCTGAGCGCAGGGGTGGGAACAGGGCTCTGCTGTCTGTCCCAGCAGGAGAGGCCCAAGCTTACGTTCTTGGGGAAGTGGCACCTTGGACACGCGCCTCTGACAGCAAGGGTAGACCTCTGTCAACTGGAGACGTTTGCTTTTGTTCAAGTCTGCGCACAGGGTGTCCAGAGCACCACAAGGTGACTGTGGCTTTGTCACAAAGCAACATTAGCAAATGGGCACATAGATGGCATGCTGTGGCTGGTCCAGAAACTGACAGGGACGGAAGTGCCAAGTGGTCAGTCCGTTCCCCACTCCCCCTTTACCAGTGGCCACATGGAGGCACCAGGATCCCTGCCTAAGGGAATACGGCTGGTGGGGGGTAGGCTGTGGTTGGGGCCCTGTTTCGTATTGTCCCCTCACGCGAGACTTTCCCTCAGTGTTGGCAGTGATCCAGCTGCAGCAGCAGCTGGAAGAGGCTGAGGGCAGTGACCCTCAGCGTGCCATGGCTATCTGTGAACAGCTGGGGGACCTTTTCTCCAAGGTGGGTGACTTTCCGAAGGCATCCGAGGCTTACCAGAGGCAGGTGAGTGCCCGGCCCCCATGGGAGGGGCGGGAGGAGAGGGCTGCAGCGCACTAAAGTGGGCCCGAGCCTTACTGTGCTGGCCCCACAGCTGCACTTTGCTGAGCTGCTGAACAGACCAGATCTCGAGCTGGCTGTCATCCATGTGTCCCTGGCCGCGACCCTGGGAGACATGAAAGATCACCGCAAGGCTGTGCACCACTATGAGGAGGAGCTGAGGCTACGCAGGGGCAATGCCCTGGAGGTGACACGCCCTTGTCCCTGGGTGTATTTCTGTGGCTCTACCTTGAGCTCACCGTTCTCAGGTGGTGGGTGTGAAAGGAAAAACTGTTCCTTCCAAGGGCTGTCATGGTCTGTCAGTTGGAGCTGGGACAGGGACAAAGCAGACCTTCCAGTGTCATGTGACCAGATGAGGGAGCCAATTCGTGGCTGGTCGGCTGCATGTGCTAGCCAGGCAGCCACCAACCTTGCGTGTCTTTCTCTGCTCCAGGAGGCTAAAACTTGGTTCAATATTGCACAGTCTCGTGAGGAAGCTGGCGACGCATATGAGCTGCTAGCGCCATGCTTCCAGAAGGCTTTTAGCTGCGCCCAGCAGGCCCAGCGCTTCCAGCTGCAGGTACGAGAGCCCACCCCACCAACACTGCATCCGCAAACAAACCAGCTCTTTTTTTTTTTTTTTTTTTTTTGTCCTTTTTCTGGCTTTTGAACCTAAGACCTTACTCATGGCCTATATATCCCCAGCCCTTTCTGTATTTTCATTTTAAGACAAGGTCTTACTAAGTTGCCCAAGCTCAAGCCTGTCTTTCCTTGCATTAATTGCTCTCTGTCGTCCTGCTTGTTCCTGAACTGGACACCTCTTCTCCTCAGAGGCAGATCTTACAACACCTTCACACTGTGCAACTCAAGTGGCAGCCCCAAGAAGCCCCCGGCACCGAAGCAAAGCTGCAGGAACTGAGTGTGGCAAACGACGGGGAGGAGGAGGAGGAGGAGGAGGAGGAGGAAGCCAGTGAGGCCCTGGAGACCAGTGAACTAGAACTCTCAGAGAGTGGTGAGGGTTGAATGCTGCCTGCGTGCTGGGTGCTGGGTGCTGGGTGCTGGGTGCAGGGTGGGCTGCACTTGCCTTTCCGCCCGGGTCTGCTCTGAGATGATGCCTGGGGTGGACTGGAGGTGTGTCTGCATGGAGCCTGCTGAGGACTCAATGGCTGAAACAGCTGCAACTAGGGAGGGCAACCAGTGCTTCTGTGGAGTGACCGGAGGAAGCTGGCGGCCTATATGGACCGTGGGGCACGGCGGTCAGAAGCTCTCTGAGGAAATTACTGGTCAGAGGCAGAGTGGGCGTCAGACAGGAAGGGCTGTTTGGGGTCAGAGTCTAGGAAGATGGTCCTAGTAGAGGCATGCGTCTGGGAGAGGTGAGATGCTGTGTCATGGGTGGCTTCATGGGTGCTACGCTGTGATTGGGGCCCAGGCTGTGCTGCCCCTCACGTGATCCATGGCTGTAGCCTGTTCCTGGAACTCAAGGCCAGTGTGTGAGGGATCTCGGCTATGTGGGACAAGGCAGGAAGGAGGCCCTGGAGCTCAAGGCAGATTTCCAGCTAGGTGGTTTGTGGATTCGATCTCTAGAAAAATCTTGACTTTAGGTGTGAACTTACAGGGTTAGAGCCTCGGTACCTGGGAAGTTGGGCCATGTCTTAGAGGGTAAGTCAGGCTGAATATTGGTGTTTAGGTGATCTGAGTGAGAAGAGAGACCAAGTACTTCAGCTTAGGGAGTGACGTTTAGCTGGTAGCCACAGCCACAAGACAGGGCAGAGAAGAAAAGAGTTGTAGAAAGGGCCAGAGGATGCCAGAAGGGAGCAGAAGCCCAGTGAGGAGTGTTTGACAAGAATCACTAGTCATGGGAGGCCTCGAGGCCAGCGCCATACAAGGCAGCGGGCCTGAGTCGGTGACCTGTGCTGACAAGGGCGCGTCCTCAGAAAGCCTGCAAAGACACTGATCTGCGGGCAGTCTGGTTTTCGGCCCACCCACCATGGACAAGGCTTGAGTGACCGGTCCCTCCTTTTCTTCAGCCCCTGTGTGGAGTGGAGCAGTGAGTTAGAGTGGGTGGGGCGTTGGTGGCGCACGCCTCTAGTCTCAGCACTCAGGAGGCAGAGGCAGGAGGACCTCTGAGTTCCAGGACAGCCAGGGCTACACAGAGTAACCCTGTCTTGAAAAACCATAAATCAATAAGCAAACAAATAATATATAAACAGAAGCAGGGCGTTGGTGGGGTCGGGCTAGGAGTTAGCTTTGCTTTACCTGGCTACAGAGCTCACAGACCCCAGAGCTCTGCCTTCCTGCTTCTGGCTGCTCTGCCCGGAGGTCGGAGGAGACGGTGTGCGATAGGCTAAGGGTCAGTGGACTTGCTCTTCTAGAGGATGATGCTGACAGCCCGTCTCAGCAGCTGCAGGAAGACGAGGAACTTCAGGGCTGTGTGGGCCGGCGGAAGGTAAACAAGGTGAGGACAGCATGTCCGACCCTCCCTGTTGTCCAGCAGCACTACCCCCAGCAATACGCCTGCCCCTCACACTTCTGCCCCCTGTCGGGGCAAGTACTCTTACAGTGGAACCGGCGCAACGACATGGGAGAGACCCTGCTGCACCGAGCCTGCATCGAAGGCCAACTGCGCCGCGTCCAGGAGCTTGTAAGACAGGTGCGCCAAAATCCCTAGCGAGATCATTGAACCCTGGCTTCCTCAGGGAGCTGTGAGCTCAGACAGTGCCTCCTTTATTGCTTGTTTTTGTTTTTTTAATTTATTTTATGACTTTGTGTGTATGAGTGTTTTGCCTGCATGTATGTCTATGTACATGTCCGTGCCTGGTACCTGAGGAGGCAGGGAGTCTCCACGTGTGTTCTGGGAATTGAACCTGGGTCCTTTGCAAGAACAACAAGTGCTCTTAACCTCTGAGCCATCTCTCCAGCCCCTCATTTTCTTTCATAATACCTAAAGAGGGAGAGAGGGCACTATACCAAGAAGTAGACCTTTGCCGGGCGGTAGTGGCGCACACCTTTAATCCCAGCACTCAGGAAGCAGAGGCAGGTAGATCTCCGAGTTCAAGGCCAGCCTGGTCTACAGAGCAAGTTCCAGGACAGGTTCCAAAGCTACAGAGAAGCCCTGTCTCAAAAAACAAAAACAACAACAAAAAAGAAGTAGACCTTTGAGGTCCACTCTGGGTTCTGGGACAGGTCTCCAGCCACCAAGTCACAAATTTCTGCTGGGACCTGGGACCAGGGTCAGGACCCATCCTTTCATTTATCATAGGGCCATCCCCTGAATCCCCGAGACTACTGCGGCTGGACACCTCTACATGAAGCATGCAACTATGGGCATCTGGGTAAGTAGGGTCTGGCCAAGCACAGGGTGGACGTGTAAGTCTGCAGGACAAGTAAGGATGGCACTGGGAGCTGAGTCCATGTGTTCCTGCCCCCAGAGATCGTCCGCTTCCTTCTGGACCATGGGGCAGCAGTGGATGACCCAGGTGGTCAGGGGTGTGATGGCATCACTCCCCTGCATGACGCCCTCAACTGTGGTCACTTTGAGGTAGCTGAACTACTTATTGAGCGAGGGGCATCTGTAACTCTCCGTACCAGGAAGGTGAGCCAGGGTGTGGGCAGGGAGGGCGGGGACTGTAACAGAGTCTGTTGTCACCTTGCTCAACGGAGTGCCACACAGGGCCTCAGCCCACTGGAGACTCTACAGCAGTGGGTGAAGCTGTACTTCAGGGACCTTGACCTTGAGACAAGACAGAAGGCAGCGTGCATGGAGAGGCGGCTCCAGTTAGCCTCCTCAGGCCAAGGTAGCAAGACCTCCTCTATCTTCTCTCCTTGCCTCTAGCCCGAGAGATGGCGTCCTGTCTCATGATCTCTTCTCTCTTCCTCAGCCCCCCAGGGCTCCCCTGCTGTCCAGACCATTCGAAGTAACCATCTCTTTGACCCTGAGACCTCTCCCCCCTCAAGCCCCTGTGCAAAACCCTCTTCGTGTACCCCTAGACCTCCAGAGGCCTCTCCAGCCCGCACTAAGGTCTTTGTGGAGGAAACTGTGGCTGCTGTGTCCAGACCTCGAAGGAACAGGCACAGGCCGACCAGCAGCAGTAGCAGCTCAGAGGACGAGGACAATATGGGCCACTGCAGGCCATCTCAGAAAAGACTGAGACATTCTCTCAAAGCACAGCAAGATGAAACCCAGACACCTGACCCATCATCCAAAAGCAGAGACACAGCCCCATCAAGTGCTTGCCCGGCTGCTTACCAAGCAGCCATCCGGGGAGTGGGTAGTGCCCAGAACCGTCGCTTGGTACCTAGCCTGCCTCGGGGCTCAGATGAAGTCCCCGCCTCCAAGGCAGCACTCATTCCTGAGGAGGAGTTCCTAGCTGGGGAGTGGCTGGAGTTAGATACACCTCTGACCCGCAGCAGCAGGCCTAGTACCTCAGGGTCAGACTATGAACGATGCCCTGTCAGGCACCCAACTCGTGCCAAGCAAAGTCGTTTGACATGTCTTGATGGTTGGGGTACATGGACTAAAGCAGGAGACGGCAGCCTGTCTGCAGAGCCTCCGGAGAGCCCCAGCATGCCTAGGACCCCGGGACCCAGCAGGGAGAATTGCACAGCAGGCCAGCCTTTGGTGGGTGCATAAGTACTGTCTTTGCAGCTTGAGGCAGGTGGGGGTGGAAACCTCTGTTGTCTGACTGTCCCCTCCCTCTGTCCATACCTGCTAGCTTCTGGTCCAGCCTCCTCCCATCCGGGTTCGAGTTCAAGTTCAGGATAACCTTTTCCTCATCCCTGTCCCACACAGGTAAGTCACATGCCCTCCCCTGTTCCCAGACTCTTCAGTCTGCCATGCAGCTCTGCCTGTTCTGTCAGCACTGGGGTACACAGCACCCTGTGTGTCTGTCAGAAAGGCGTGTGTGAGAAGGACTCCTGACTTGGCACCCCACGCCCTTGAGCCCCAGGGAGCCCTGTGTAAGCTCCCTCAGGGATCCTCAGCACAGCCTAGGAAGGTTCTCTGTGCCTTAGAAACGGCCAAAGGAGCAGGTAGTCTGCTGGGCTGCACAGGTAAAAGGGCAGTTAGCTGGAGGAGGGGTGGGGGCGCCAGGTGAACGAACTGGAGATCCTAAGCACCGAAGTAGGACCCCAGGGCACCTGAGCTCAGCGTGTCACTCTTCTCTGTAGCAGTGACATCCACTCTGTGGCTTGGCTAGGAGAGCAAGCCGCCCAGCGCTACTACCAGACATGCGGGCTGCTTCCGAGGCTCACCCTGCGGAAGGATGGAGCACTGTTGGCTCCACACGACCTCATCCCCGACGTGCTGCAGAGTAATGACGAGGTGGGCAACAGGGCAGGGCCGTGGGCACAGACTACCCCTGTTACTAGGCTTTTCCGAGCTGTTCACCAGATACACATTTTAGGTGTTGGCTGAAGTAACTTCATGGGACCTTCCCCCTCTGACTGACCGCTACCGCAGGGCCTGCCAGAGCCTGGGCCAAGGTGAGCTAGCCCTGCCTTAGATTTGGAGGCCTAGGCCAGAGGAGCTGGGCATGTCTGGAGAAACCCAACCCCTCCCAGCTTTATACCTGTTACACTCACATGTATGGGTGACGGGTAGGAGCAGACAGTTCCGAGATCATGGGGTCTTGGTGTGAGAATTCCTGAAGCCACCTAAGCCACACGTAGAGCTCTGGGAGGTATCTGGAGGGGCTGGAGGTCACCAGGACGCTTGTTTCCGAGACTGGAAGGTGTGAACGTGGCTGAGGGAGATGAGAGCCCTCCCCCAGATTTATGTGCCAGCTCCTTGCGTGACACTAAATTCAAGGCTTGTGGGAACGGGCCGCTTGCTCTGCCTGCAGGGTTCTAGGAGGGGTTTCAAGCCCTGGCCCCAGCGACCCCGCATCTCTCTTCGCAGGGGAGCACCTGCAAGTGCAGCAGGCCATAGAGCAGCAGAGTTCAAGCGCTTCATTTAGTGCCTGTTCCCTGGCCTTGTCCCAAGCCCAGCTCATGCCCCTGCTGCGAGCCCTCAAGTTACACACAACACTGCGGGAGCTGCGCCTTGCTGGGAACCGGCTAGGCGATGGGTGTGCTCCCGAGCTGCTGGCTACCCTGGGCACCATGCCTAACCTGGTCCTCCTTGATCTGTCTTCCAATCACTTGAGCCAGGAAGGTCTGCGCCAGCTTGTTGAAGGCTCCTCGGGCCACGCCGCTTTACAGGTAAAGACCCAGGTGCAGTGAGCCAGCAACTGCAAGGTGTTAGTATTCCCATCTAGCTGGAGAGCTGGGCACTACTTGGCCCTGGAATGAGACCCATGCAGACAGCAGACTCTTTGTGGGGAGGTTGGCCCATGGTGTCTGGGAACTCAGTGCCCAACCCACATCTCCTCTAGAGCTTGGAGGAACTGGACTTGAGCATGAATCCTCTAGGAGACGGCTGTGGCCAGGCCCTGGCCTCCCTTCTGCGGGCCTGTCCCGTGCTTAGCACCCTGCACCTACAGGCCTGTGGCTTCAGTGCCAGCTCCTTCCAGAGCCACCAGGCTGCTCTGGGTAGCGCCTTCCAAGGTAAGATGACCAGCTAAGTGTATTCCCTGAGCCCAGTGTTGAGAGAGTTAGGACCTCGAGCAGAGGGGCCCCAGGATACCAGGACCTGACTTCTGGGTGAAGTTACCCAGGTTACATGTAGGTTTAGCTGGGGCTCAAGCAGAAATTGGTCCTTAACCAGCTTTAGCTGTTCACACACACCACCCCTAGAGTCTCAGAGAGGCCATGTCTGCCCTTAGAGTCCCTTTATGCCTTTGGCTTAAGCTTTCTATGTTCCTGTGGTAATTTCCTCATGAGCCCACCCGATTTGGTGACATTGCCCCAGTACAGAGGGCTGGGAACTGGGGCTACCTAGAAGAGGGAGGGACCTGGGATTGGGTGGCAATGGTCAAGGCACTATCCTGACTTCCAGAGCAGCCAGACATGGGAAATAGGGAAACTGGGTTCTGGAGACTGGACATGAGCCTTTGCTTCCCAGTCTCCCCCAAAATTCAGGGGTAACAGTTTCTTTAAAGGCTTCACAAGGCATCTGGGGTCAGCACACTAGGGAGGGGAAGGGCAGTGCTGGGTCAGCACACTAGGGTAGGGAAGAGCAGTGGGTGGCCGCGTGGGTTAAGCAGTTCCTGCCCTGCACAGACTCTGCGCACCTGAAGACCTTGTCCTTGTCTTACAACACGCTGGGTGCTCCAGCCCTGGCGAGGGCGCTGCAGAGCTTGCCGGCCCACACCCTCCTGCGTTTGGAGCTTAGCTCTGTGACAGCCAGCAAGAGCAGCTCGAGTCTCGTAGAGCCTGTTGTCAAATACTTGACCAAGGTATGAGGTATGGAGGGGACTGCCAAACCAGAACACGGTGTTCTGTTCATTGTAGGCCAAAACTCAAGGTCCTACAGCTGAAACCATGCAGCGCTGTGCAGAGTCTGAGGAAAGGGCGAGGAGGTTGGGAGGAGCACCGGGGGACACCTGGGAGCAGGGTGGCGTTGCTTCAGACAAGTTCCAAGGGACGCCTCAGGTCCCTGTGATTTTTTTTTTTTTTTTTTTTTTTTTTTTTTTGGTTTTTACGAGACAGGGTTTCTCTGTTTTGGAGGCTGTCGGTCCAGCCTGGCCTCGAACTCACAGAGATCCGCCTGCCTCTGCCTCCCAAGTGCTGGGATTAAAGGCGTGCGCCACCACCTCCCGGCGACTTTTTATTAACTTTATTTTATGTACATTGGTGTGAAGATGTTAGATCCCCAGGGACTGGAGTTACAGACAGTTATGAGCTGCCACGTGGGTACTGGGAATTGAACCTGGGTCCTGGAAAAGCAGACAATGCTCCTCATTTTTGTTTTGTTTCTCTGTGAAATAGTCCTGGCTGTCCTGGAATTCACTCTGTAGACCAAGCTATCCTTGAACTCACAGCCTCCCCAGTGCTGAGATTAAAGGCATGTACCACCATGCCAACTTACTCCTGTGATCTTTACAAGGCATCTATAACCTGTAGCCTGGAAGAGAGGTGTTTCCTTTCCCTCCCAAAACAGCTCTCTTGAGTGTGGGCCTTTGCCGGGAGGAAGGCGGATAGGCGCTCACTAGGCATGGCCTTTTGCCCTGTGCTTGTGTCCAGGAAGGCTGTGCTCTGACCCACCTAACCCTGTCTGCAAACTCCCTGAGTGACGAGGCTGTGAGAGACCTGAGCAGGTAACGTACCATCCCTCGACCACTGACTGTCCTGTGATCCCGGGAGCCTGATGTGAACACTGCCCAGGACCAAGGGAGATGGGCCGGGTGGCGGCACCGCTGTCTGACTCCCACTGTCTCCAGGGATGGCTCCAGCAGGCGTCCTTAAGCTCCTCAGCCGTCTTCCAGGGCAGTGTCAGTTGTGCAGAGCTGGCATCACAGTCTTGCCTCTAACTGGTGCCACAGAGGTCCTGCCTGTGCCAGGCTGGAACAGATTCTGCTCGGCTTGGCCCCTGGCTCCCAGAGCAGTGGTCTGACTGGATCAGCCTCCACTAGTGATAAATCGTCCACTCTCCCTGGATGTTCATCCCTTCACTTCCCATGTTATTCTAGATGTCTCCCTTGCTGCCCCTCACTTGTCTCTCTGGACCTGTCTGCCAACCCTGAGGTCAGCTGTGCCAGTCTGCAGGAACTCTTGTCTGCCCTCCAAGAGCGGCCCCAAGGACTAAGTTTCCTTGGCTTGTCAGGTAAGAGTTGGAATCAACAGTGACTCCTTGTCATGCCTCACCTAATGCAGGCCATACTTTCCAGGGACCTGCCAGAGGAAGGGGCAGTGATTCCCACCAGCCAGGCCCTATGTCGTGGTGTAGCAGTGGCTACTCAGAATATGGCAGGAAGAAACCCTGACTCCTACCCATAACCCAGCACTAGAGGGGCTAAGGCAGACGACTTCAGACACTCCTGAGCTACGTAGTGAAGCCCTGTCTCAGGAACAAAAGGAGACTCTGGAGATGGTCAGTGGTTAAGAGCTGCTCTTCCAGAGGACCCCATTCTCAGCGTCTGCATGACAGCTCACGGCCTCCACAGCTCCAGTTCCAAGGGGCCTGAAGCTCTGGCCTCTGCAGGCAGCCTAATTTCACATAATACCCAGGCATATGTGAGAAACAGTACCAGTACACATACAAACAAATTTTTATTTTTATTTGTTTTTTTGTTTTGTTTGAGACAGGGTTTCTCTGTATTGTTTTGGAAGCTGTCCTGCCTGGAACTCACTCTGTAGACCAGGCTGGCCTCAAACTCACAGAGATCTGCCTGCTTCTGCCTCCCTAGTGCTGGGATTAAAGGCGTGCGCCACCACCGCCTGGCGCCAAACAAATTTTTATTTACTTATTTCTATCTTTCTCTCCCCCCCCCTCCCCCAAGACAGGGTTTTTCTGTAGCTTTGGAGACCCTCCTGGAACTCGCTCTGCAGACCAGGTTGGTCTCAAACCCAGAGATCCGCCTGCATCTGCCTTTCAAGTGCTGGGGGATTAAAGGTGTCTGCCACCACTGCCTGGCTAAAAACAAAAATTTTTTAAAGATTTATTTATTGGGGCTGGAGAGATGGCTCAGAGGTTAAGAACACTGACTGTTCTTCCAGAGGTTCTGAGTTCAATTCCCAGCAACCACATGGTGGCTCACAACCATCTATAAGGAGACCTGGTGCTCTCTTCTGACATGTAGGCAGAACAGTGTATATGCAATAAATAAAGAACCCTTTAAAAAAAGATTTATTTATTATGTACACACTGTTCTGCCTACATGTCAGAAGAGGGCACCAGGTCTCCTTGTAGATGGTTGTGAGCCACCATGTGGTTGCTGAGAATTGAACTCAGGACCTCTGGAAGAGCAGTCAGTGCTCTTAACCTCTGTGCCATCTCTTCAACCCCCCCAAAACAAAATCTTTAATGAAAATAAAAAGCATGAAGGAAGGCCAGGCGTTGGTGGCGCATGCCTTTAATCCCAGCACTCGGGAGGCAGAGGCAGGTGGATCTCTGTGAGTTCGAGGCCAGCCTGGTCTACAAAGCAAGTTCCAAGACAGAGCTGTCACATAGCAAAACTCGGTCTTGAAAAAAAGTAAACAACAACAAAGGCATTAAGGACCAGGGCTGGAGAAATGTCTCAGTGGTTAAGAGCACTGGCTGTTCTTTCAGAGGAACTGGGTTCAATTCCCATCACCCACATGGCAGCTCAAAACTTTAACTCCAGTTCCCAGGGATCTGACACCTTTATGCCAATTCATATAAAATAAATTTAAGTGAATTATCTTAAAAAGCATTAAGAATTTTTTCCCACAGGTATATTTCTTCATTCTTTTTTAAAACTTTTGTTTGAATTGTTTTTGAAAGATTTATTTATTATGTATACAGTGTTCTTCTCCAGAAGAGAGGGAAGGGTCTCACTTTTGTGTGTGGGTTTTTTGGGTCTCACTATTTTTAATTGGTTTGGAACCCCAGACATAGACCATGGCTTTGAACTCCCAGAAGTCTGCTTGCCGCTGCCTCCTGAGTTCTGGGTTAAAGTTGTGCATACTACAAAGAGCTTTTTGTTTTTAAAGATTTGTGTTTTATACAGTCCTCAGCCTGCATGCACACCTGCAAGCCAGAAGAGGGCACCAGATCTCAGTACAGGTGGTGTGAGCCACCATGTGGTTGCTGGGACTTGAACTCAGGACCTCTGAAAGAGTAGCCAGTGCTCTTAACCTCTGAGCCATCTCTCCAGCCCTGTTTGCATTTGTTTTTATAAAGATTTACGGGAGCTGGAGAGATGGCTCAGAAGTTAAGAGCATTGACTGCTCTTCCAGATCTTAAAAAAATAAAAAATAAAATAAAGATGTACTTACTTGTGCAAGACATAGTGGTGCATGCCATTAGTCCCAGAATTTAGACTAGCTGTTTCAGGACAGCTGGGGCTACATAGAGACCTTGTCTCAAAACAAATCAACAACAAAAAGATTTGCCTATTTTTGTGTGTGTGAGTGTTTTGCCTGTGTGTATGTGCACCATGTGCATGTCTGGTGCCCCGGAACTGGAGTTAAGGCCACCAATGCACGTGGGTCAGGGAGCCCGACTAAGATCCCCCGCAAAAGCAGCAGGTACTCCTGACCATCCAGCCATCCCTCCGGTCCCTCACTTGCATTTATTTTATGCTGAATTGTTTGTTTATTTATTTATTATTTTGTTTTGTCTTTTGAGACAGGGTTTCTCTGTATTGCTTTGGAGTTTGTCCTGGAACTCGATCTTGTAGACCAGGCTGGCCTCAAACTCAGAGACCCGCCTGCCTCTGCCTCCCGAGTGCTGGGATTAAAGGTGTGCGCCACAAACGCCCAGCTTGAATGTATTCTTGTGTCATACTTTTTCTTTTGTTTTTGGAGATAGAGTTTCTCTGTGTCGCCTTTGCTGTCCTAAACTCACTCAGTACACCAGGCTGGCTTCAAACTCACAGAGATCCACCTGCCTCTGCCTCCCGAGTGCTGGAGTTAAAGACCTGTGCCATACCACCCAGCACATTTTTGTTTTTTAGTCTTTTTTTGGGTTATCTTTTCTTCTATGCAGCCTCCTGGCTAGGAACAGTTTGTTCCTTTGCAATGAGGATCATCTCATTGAGGCAGAGGGAGCTCATGCCTGGATTAATCCACAATGATGTCTAGTTTCAACAAGTGTGTCTTAGCTGCTTTGTAACTAGAGAATCTACATCTAAAGCCTTAAATTTGTTTAAAAATACAGCGCTGTGGGTGGAGGTGTTGGTCTTTAATCCTAGCACTGGACAGGCACAAGCAGGTGGATCTCTGTGAGTTCAAAGCCAGCCTGCTCTACAAAGCAAGTTCCAGGACAGCCAGGGCTACACAGAAACCCTGTCTGCAAAAAAATTTTTTTAATTAAAAAAAAAAAAAGGAAGATTTGAACCTCTTGATTTGCATGATTATGCAGGGTTTTCTGGGTCAGGAGAGTAGCAAACCATTGTCACTGGCCGGAAGAGTTCTTTCCACATTCTTTTTGGCAGGAAGATGGGATCTAGGGTGGTGCAAGCTCCACTAAATGGCTCTCTTTCCTCATTCCTGGTAGAAGGAATTGCTCATAACCTACTTACTGTTAAGGTAGCTTGTTTTGCTGCACCAAGGCATTCTCCACCTTCGAGGTGTACGTGGTAGACTGGCCAGGCATTGCCTTGCTCAGCTGAAATTTGATAACAGCAGAGCACAGGGCATCCCCTGTGGTCTTACTGTGATTTACTCCACACACTGGCATTTCTGGCGCTCCCTGATATCCTGAGCCTACTGAGATCTCTGGCCTAACGATCACGTCCTGGTATTCAGTAGCCTCCAGAGATCCCCTGGCCCACCGTATACATTTAGGCAAAGCCCTGTTGAGTGCACATTTCACGTCTGGGCAAAGCAAAAGTAGGCTCCGAGGCGTGGCGTGAGCAACGCGGCTTGTGTGTGTGGGGTGGGAAGACCTGCCTGCGAGTTAAACCTGCCTCTCCCCCCGCCAGGCTGCTGCATTCGGGGGCCCCTGGACCCCGACATCTGGGACAAGATCTTCATACAGCTGCAGGAGCTGCATTTGTGCAGCAAACACCTGAGTACAAGGGACCGCGATGCCCTGTGTCGGAGACTGCCGGCCAGCGCATGCTCACTGGACCACGGTCCCAAGCTCTTCTTTAAATGCCTCTGACCCTGGCCCTGTCGTTTCTACCCCCCAAAAAAAAAAACTTAATAAATTAAGCTGCTGTCCCCTTCGTGTGGCTGCTTGGGAAAGGGGTGGACGGCGTGAGACTTGACAGGCGCTGCCGCCCCAGAGCGCAAGCCCAGGCAGAGCGGACGAGCGCCGATCCACTGATTGGGCCTGCTCCGTGCGTAGGCGTAAGTGGGGAGAGTGAGCGCCGAGCTGCCGATCGGGCTTCCCGGCAGGCGCAGGCGGAAAAAGCGAACGCCGAGCTGCTGTCGCCGTCTCCGGGCCTCCAAACGCCCCAGGTACGCAGCGGCTACGGCCCGGTCCCGCAGCAAAGGACACTTTGGGCTAAGTGTCCGGGATCTCCTCTGGGGGACTCAGCGGCCCTCGCCGCGCGCCCCGTGTCTCAGTAGGCGGTGGGCGCTGTCAGGTGACTTTCCCTGGCCGAGAGGGTACCCACCTTCCTCCTGGGACTCCGCCGCCTCTCCCCCAGCTCCCGAGACCTCAGTAGCTCAGACTCTTCATCAAACCACTCCATCCCGGTTTGCCTGCCTTCATCGAACTTCTGTTTTCTTTTCACCCCATTTCAAATCCCGAGGCGAGTTTTAGCTGGCTCAGCCACTGACATCAACTTCCTTGTTAGACAGGACCTTCCCGAGGTCTGCTTCCACCATTTCTAGACTGCATCGACCCACAAGCTTGCCTTTGTTTATTCCTCCAGTAGCTCCCACAAAACGGCCTTTCACTCACTCCCAGAGCCCTAGACACCGAGCTCTTCCAAGTCCATTTCCATTGAAAGGTGTTGCAACACCGGGCCCGTCCTCCAAACTCAAGATGCGCCTCCCTACCTTCATCAAGCTACCAGACAGGACTCCCCTGGCACCTGCACCCTCTCAGGGTTAACAGCTTCCCCATGACAGTCCCTGTGTTGTTCCTATACAGAACAGGGAAGCTATTCACAAGGCTCTGACCCCTTCCCCGCAGCCTAGCTCTTGGGGTGTAAGGGGCCCCTGGAATTAGTGTTGACTTTGCTTCCCAGGTCTCTGTGCTGTAGCTGCCAGGACCTGCAGGATGTTTCACGGGATACCAGCTACTCCTGGCATTGGAGGTGAGTGTAGCCTAAGCTGGAAGGAAGGGGGGGGGGCAGGCTTTCCCTGCGGTTGGGAAAGGACCACACTGCCACCTCCATCCCACTCATGGGCTCTGGGAAGTGCCTAGTGCCAGAGCCATTCACGGTGGAGTTCTGAGGACCCAGCAGCATCCTGCTGAGTAGACATTTCTGTGTGGTCAGAACCCCTGGCATCCTGAGTATCTCTGAGTTTCCAACCGTAGGTTGTGAAGGATGTGACAGATTTTTATTTGTATCATATTGTTGGGGTCCCTCGAATTGAGGAGGGGTCCCCAAGCTGGATTCGTCACCCGAAGAATCAAGAGTCCACGCGCCAATTGATGCAACACGCAAGAGGCTTTAATTAGGCATCTGCAGATGGGCCTCTCGGTCAGCTTTTAGACCGATTGGCCCCGAGGTTCAGTTACAATCAGCTTTTAAAGACAAAAACCACAAGCCTTTGGGAGGGGTCCCTATCTTGTATGTGGGGGGGGTTAACGTGACCATTGATCAGGGGAAGTAGATATCCTCCTGACCTACATGTTGTAAATTCCTCAGACCTTGGTATGTGCTAATCATCTCTCCCTAAGTAAATGGTGTTATCATCTCATTGTTTCCCACGAATCTTGTTTGCCCATCTCTGACGCCCTGTTCAGTTCTTCACAGGTGGTCAGCAGCCCGGAATTTGGTCTTTTGTGGGTTTACAGCCCTTCTACAATTAAGAGTGCTAAACCATACATTCCATTCTGTGGTTTGGCCAGTTCCTGGAACGAGGCCCTTTGTTCACTTCCTGAGTTCTTTAGTGGGGTAGTCTCCTTGTTTAAGCTTATATTTTATTTCTATAAATTCGAGGTCTTTCAATATCATGGTCCTATCAAGAAAGTATGATGACCCTGAGGGTGGAGTGTTAAGCCCAGCATTGGGTCTGTAGCCTCTTGGAGGCAATGCTGGTAGGAGGTGAGGCTAGAACCCCTATTCTGTAGCTCCCTCTGAGCTCTCTAGGACGTGGCATGGGAGACATTCTCAGGAAAGTCACTGAAACGGGACTGCCCCGGGGTCGTCTTGTGACCATCTGTCATCTCCTGCCTGCTCTGTTGCAGCCCCTGGGAACAAGCCGGAGCTGTATGAGGTGAGTGGTAGATACCTAACCGGCCACGGCTGCTGCAAACACCACGTGGCTGCCCCTGGTTCTGCAACCACCTATGGACGCTCACTGACTTGCCCACTTTTCCAACAGGAAGTGAAGTTGTACAAGAATGCTCGGGAGCGGGAGAAGTAAGTCAGATATCTGAGCTGCCACCAGCATACACACATGCGCCCATCCAGCGTCCGAGGCAGGCCCAGCAGTCTCCTCCCAAACCCAGTCACCACACCAGTGGTTGGGGAGGACGTGGGACCGGGCTAGGGAGATGGTTCCTGAGGGTTATCTCCCGGGATGGAGTGATAGGTGGGCTGAATTGTGTGGTGACTGCAGAGCAGCGGTTGGCTGCCCTTGGTTCCAGATGCCGAGGCTCCCCTGCCTTGGAGCGGGGCCTGACGGGTGGCTTTGCCTTAGGTATGACAACATGGCAGAGCTGTTTGCGGTGGTGAAGACAATGCAGGCGCTGGAGAAAGCATACATCAAGGACTGCGTCACCCCCAATGAGTGAGCAAGCCTGTGCTTCAGCTGCGGATGGCCGCTGGTCCTCAGAAGCATGTCTCTCCCTTCTGTGAAGCTTGTGGGCTCAGTCAGTCTGGAGCTCACACTATGAGGGTGCTCCTGGTGGCCACCAGCTTTGGGGCCACATCAGTAGGGTGGGGGTGGGGTAGACATTCTGTAAGGGTGGGTATGGTTCTGACCTCGGATGGTGACCTGCAGCCTGGGGACAGCGTGGTCTAAGGTGCCACTGTCCAGCCTAGGCAGCTAGCACGGATGCTGGTGCTTTGTTCAGACGTGACAAGCCGGTGTGACTGGACTGGGGCTGCCAGCGGCAAGGGTGGTCTGATGCTTTGGGCGAAGGCAAATGCAGTAGACATCTGGGCTCTCGTGCTGAGTTCCTGGTCAGCCTTCACCTCACAGACTGCCTGGCAGAGTTATGGCATGCCTCCCTGCTCTTGTCCAGAGCTCTCTTCATGTACAGACCCATTAGGAAGCCTTTGGCCCTCCTAGCCTACCACGAAAGCTCCTGCATCCAGACTTGCTGAGGGAGAGCACAATGAGCCCAGCGAGACTGTTCTCAGTCTCCATCAGCAACTGGTCCTCTCCCTAGGTACACTGCAGCATGCTCCAGGCTCCTGGTCCAGTACAAAGCTGCCTTTAGACAGGTTCAAGGCTCAGAGATCAGCTCCATTGATGAATTCTGCCGGAAGTTCAGAGTGAGTAAGCCAGTCCTTTCCTGCATCCCTCAGGAAAAGTGTGACGGGATAGGGGATGACACCTGGCCTCCTGGAGGCCAAGTGGTCCAGAGCCCCTGTCTGTTCTCAGCTGGACTGCCCACTTGCCATGGAGAGGATCAAGGAGGACCGACCCATCACTATCAAGGACGACAAGGGCAATCTCAACCGCTGTATTGCAGACGTGGTCTCGGTGTGTTCCACAGCTCCTGGGAGGGCCCTGTGGGACTTAGGGGGAAGGGACTACCAGCCGGGATCAGTCATGAGTGTGTGTTCGTGGAGTTTCTGGAGCTGAGCAGTAGCCTGGGAGGGCTTACCTCAGCTGTGAGTGAGGGGAGGAGCATCCGTGGAGCTTGAGCCCCACCTGACTGCATTCTGTACTCTGAAAAGGGAACATACAGCATCTGCTCTGGCAGGGCCATGGATTGGGGTACGTGTACAGGAATGTACCCAGATTCATACACTACTCTCCATTGTGATCCCAAATGTCTGTGGACCCAGAAGGCCAACCTAGGCAGGCCTTCAGTGTAGTCCTCAGGCAGAAAAGAGTCCCTGTGACAGGCCTGTAAGCTGCAAAGGGTCTCTACACCCCAACTGAATAGGAGATGTCTAATCCATATTTCCCTCCAGCTCTTCATTACTATCATGGACAAGCTGCGTCTAGAGATCCGCGCCATGGATGAGGTACAGGAATTGGGCAGGGAGACCGGGCCTGGATAGAGGGGAATAGAGCAGGACAGGGAGGGTCTCAGTCGGGCACTTGTATCTGTAGATTCAGCCGGACCTACGGGAGCTGATGGAGACCATGCACCGGATGAGTCACCTGCCTCCAGACTTTGAGGGCCGCCAAACAGTCAGCCAGTGGTGAGTGGCTTTCCTGAGCAGATGGAGCTTCACGGTGACATCATAACCCTACTACTCATACAGTCGTGTGTCTTTGTCCCTAGGCTGCAGACTCTGAGTGGCATGTCGGCCTCCGATGAACTGGATGACTCCCAGGTCCGCCAGATGCTCTTTGATCTGGAGTCAGCCTACAATGCCTTTAACCGCTTCCTACATGCCTGAGCCTCATGGAGGAGGGAGTGAGGCTGATGGAGATGGTACCACCCCCGCTCTCCTATCCTACATGTCTGTATTGTCAGAGAGTGACCCCCAATAAAGCTCTGTCTTACCTTCCTACTGAGCTCACCCCGTGTGATCTATCTACCCTCCTGACTTTGTAGCAGAGCCCTGACTCCTGGGGGACACAGAGCCCCTGAAGCCACTGCCCCTAAACTAACAAGGTGTCCTGGCCCTGTTGCTCATCCCACACATAGAGTTGCCTGCATACTGATAGCTGGGCAAGGTGGCTGCCTCCTTACACATCATCACCGCCCTCCTAGCAGCACTTGAAAACTCTAAGCAGTTTGCAGGCTCCAGAAATCCTGTCCAGACCACAGGCCGTTCACCACCTCCACTGTACTGTCTGGGTTGGGCACTATGACCCTGCCATGTGACATTTAGTCCTCCAAGATTCATTGTGCTGACTTCTTTTGTTTGTTTGTTTGTTTGGTTGGTTGGTTTGGTGTTTTGCGGACAGGG